ATGATGCTTACTGTGGGGTATGCGAGACTCTCATATGTGGTCGGATTCATTTTTTTCACTGTTCCAAAAAAATTGGCATCAAGGCTCAGYACCAGCCCACGGGATGGTAGTTTCATGACAATTCTCTTTTGCAAACAACAGCCTGGATTTATATCAAGAAACACTCCCACTTTAAATGCACACATGCTGCCCTCTGAGTAACTGAGKTTTTGCTTAATCAAAAAAAGCAAAGTTTAGTTTTTGGAACCTTCATTRCAGAGGAGAAGCAGCACAGTGCAGCAGTGGGTTGGGCAGCTGGAGCCCTGCACGAAGTCCCCCTCTCTATGGAGGGCATCTTCAGCAGAACACAGTAACCCAAGCACTGTTTGACTTCTGTACTTTGGCATCCTTATCCCAGTGTACCCCAGTAACCCCCACAGTGTAATGTTCCCAGTTCATTCCCCCCCCCCCCCCCCCCCTCCCTTTTTAAATTCAGCCTGCAGGATACAGTCTTTTGAGAAACGATGCACAAGCTCATCTTTTTTCATGCCAGCACAGTCTTTCCTCCCCTTCCTCTTCTCTCTTCCCTTTTCCCATTACTCTTTTCAAGGTCTGAAAGAAAACACTATTCAGATACTTAATGGTTACAGTTAACTTTTAGTTCAGCAGTATTTAAAAGGCAGTACTTCTGCTAAAAGGAAAGAAAATAAACAGTGTATCCTGTGATGTTTAAAAGGACAGCAGCAGATTTCTGTGAGACCTTACTGAAGGCTTTCTCCTCTGTYTGTACAAGTATTCCCTAATTATCTCAGGAAACTAATAGCTAGGTTAAATACATTTTAAATAGGTTAAAATTGTACCTTAGGTATATTAGGGAAGAGTGCACCTCTGCAGTGTAGTGAGAGCAGTAACTCCAGGAGAGGTGAGATGACAAATAGCAAGTGAGTCTCAAGCTGTTCACAACCTAAATATCTCTCCTCGGCTCAAAGCAACAAAGCTCTCTAATTATTTTTATCTAGGTGCAAGGTGAAATCAAATGACATTACAACACAAATCTCACTAATACCTTATGCAGGRCCAATGTTTAATAGCACAGATTAGTTAYRAAAWTACTGCAACAGATTTCAGTGTGGTCTTGACTCTTTTAAATGCTGACAATGATTTTAAGGGACAAGTTTATCCTTGTTCTACCCTACAACATCTTAGCACTTGAGAAATATTTAACTCCAACCCTCCACGCCCCCTTTAAATTCATGATTTATGCACAGGCCAACCAGGATTATATGACAAACATGACAGATCACTTCTTTCCCACTATAAGAGAGCCATTRAAAATAAAATGAGAATTTAGTTAGTTATTGACAGAAGCACTGGGAGAGAGCAGGAAACTAAATGACTTGATGCAAAATGAAATTGTGGAAACAAGAAGTCAATCAAAACACTGCCTCAGGTCATCTCATCTGTCCTCCAGCCAAAGCAGAGCTATTGTTGAGCATCTCTGCCCCAAGACCTCTCCAACTGGGACGATGTTTCTGGTATCAGAAACACATCTGTAATACAGAAAATGAGGTCTCCTAAACCTCCTGTTCCAAAGTTTTGCAAACATCCATCCAAGCATCAGTACCTAAACAGTTWCATCACTGCAAGGTATGCCCATCTTGTGCTACTTTCCACACTCCTGCCGTGCCAGCCACATTGTTGCAACGAATCCTCCTAATTTTCTCACTGTCTGGGTGGTTATTTGACACCATGCACAAACCAGCGCCCGGCACATTCCCTGCTCCTCCTTCTGTATTCAAAAAGAACAAGGCTTGCACTCAAACTGCCAGTCCTATCCTTAAAAAAAGGCAATAAGCCTCAAAATGAGAAACGGGATTGATCTAGTTCTCATCTATTATAATTTCTTGCTTGGCTACATTTTATGTAAAACTAAGAAAATGCCAACAGCCCATACCACTCACAAAAAAAACGCATCTGCTAATGCACCTCTCTGGGACACGCCACAAAACTTAGAGCAAGTGCCTCGATTTGCCAGTGGATGGATGCCAGCTAGGCTGTCCCAGTGAGAACCAAAAAAAGGCAGCTCCAAAGTTGAAACCAGAGGCTCTCTACAGCTCATATTAGAGAGCCACCATACTCCAGCTCAGCCTGTGAGCAACACGTAAAGCTGCAGCTGGGTCTGGGAAGATAAGGAATGCAGAACTGATCAGTCAACAGCAGAAAGCTCTTCCACAGCAAGGTGACAAATGAAGGTTGTTTCCTTGCAGACACCCTTCTGCCTTTGCSTCCTCAGTTCTTCCCTGAAGATCCACCTTCAGCCATCCACCTCTTGCTTCAGGAACTTCAGCTGTCTCACCAAATTCCAATTCCAGGCTACAGAAACCACTGTACTCTCAGGTCTCATCTCTGGAGCAGAGAGGAAAGTTAAGCTTAAAAGCCAGCAAGGCTGGCCCAGCTCTGGCTCTTTGCAGTTCCTCTCATCTCACCAGTCTTGCAGKTCCCCTGCACATGAGGTTGGGTGACACCCAAACATCCCAGGGTAGCCTCACTTCTGGGATGGACAATTTAACCAGTTCAGGGCATGTAGGTGATTCTGATAAAACACTTTGCAAGGATGTGATTTCTGRCTTTACTACAAAGCCAGTAACCAGCATCATACTCAATTTCATGAGGAACAGGACTAAAATACAAGAAAGCTCTGCAAAGTATGACCACAAGACCTTAATTGGAATTTCCCTTCAGGAATTGGATGCTAGCAAGAAATTGGGAAAAAAAGTAAAAGACCYGAGGAAATATTGAGTGCTGCCTTCCTGGGATATTCTCTTAGCTTCCAGCAATTGGCATTTCGGAGAATTCTTGAATCAGTGTAAACACACCGCATTTAGATTTTTGCAGGACAAGAGAAAGAGTCCCCCAGCTCATCTGGGCTTTTTTCACAGCAATTATTTACCTACTGAGTGATTTTCTGCCTTTGGTCCCTTTTTATGTGTCTATATTTCAGTTGTTGAAAGGCAAAATTCCATCTGATTAATAAAATTGTGCAGATTTCTGAGGTACATTTTTAATCCACCTCCTGATAATACAGCTTGAAGATGCTAGGATGCCTTCTCACAAGTCTTTCCAAATCCAACAAATGTAATAAATTTTGGAAAATATACAAATATGTATTGCTATTTATGCTTGTTTTGTTAAAGATATATACATATAAAAAGCAAAAAACAGAATTAAAAAGGACATCACAAAAATTGTATTACTTAAATGCAAAATCCCTGGCCATKAATTTCTTGCTTGTTCTCACCAGCTTCTATATCAGTATTTCCCAGAACAATTCCCAGGATATACTTTCAAATTATCACTTCATTTCCAGTGCCTTCTATCCCAGGCTATCAAAATTACTGCTATAAAACTTCTGCAGCCAAGATAGGAAATCCTCTATTAGATTATCTGTTCCCTCCCTGGTAAAATAGAAGAGGRAAACGCCATTCCAGGAAACAAAAATGTTAAAAAAAGACCAACTGAAGGCAACGCCTGCATGCACTGTTGTTCTTCCCCTTTCAGTCAGTTAGAAAGAGGAAGGAAAAAACACAGATAAAATAAAAGCAAGGAGGTGTGGATGCAGAGTGTTAATCCCACTTGAAGAGAGGAATCTGTAAAACACCATCCTTTGCATATGGACACCCCAACACCGCCTGGGTGTTTACAAACACTTTGAGCAAACCAAACAGGGAGTTTCATTGTCCCCACTGCACTCATGTCACCCGCTCCCCAGCACTGCAATTCCAGGGAGAGCCCTGCCAGAGGACACACAGTGCCAGCTACACAAGAGAAGCGCAGAAGCAAATATGCAGCAGAGGGGGGAAAAAAAATTAAAAATATCAGCTCAGCTGCACTCTCTCTTGCTGCTCTCAGAACWGCCTCCAAGTCAGGCTTTGGTGAGGATTAACTTTAAAGGGCACTGAAAGATACTGACAAATCTGAAGCAAGCAGGACCCCTCTGTGTGCACACATTTCATTGCCACCAGCACCAAATGAGATGTCTGGGGTCCACAAGCAATTATAGAAGTTGTCTACTTATAACGGGGGATAACACCTTTGATATTATATACCTAGGAGAAAATAACCTAGTATATTGCACTAGTATCTCAGCACTGTTCAAGTAAAGCTCTGGACTGCACCTCACAAACAGCAAGGAGCAGGGGAACAAATAAAAAGCCACACTAAAATGAAGCTCTACTGGACCACAAAGTTTCCACAAAGTTTAAGATATAAGCACTTCTTGAATTTATGATAAAAGTAAAAAAGATGAATGTTGAAATAAAACATCAGGCTGTCCAACCAACAATTTTTAAGACACTAACTCATGATGTGACTTGGAAAAGAAACCTGAGCCAACTGCACACAGCCAGGATTGAGAGTCAGTTGGATTCAAATCTCCCCCGTTTCCCTTAGAGGGGAAAAGGAACAGAGGTGCCAAAACAACGAAGCCGCACGAAAGCACAACACCGCCCCAAAATCCATCCTAAAACACACCTCGTATTTATTTTGTCCTCAGGAGCCCGGGTCCTGCAGGCTCTGCAGCGCTTAACGAGAACAATTCCAAATCCATCTTATTTTCCACTCTTATCCAGCGAGGGACACAAACGAGACAGGGCTCCCCGCGGCTGGGGACCGCGCAGCTCCAGGGCGCACGGAGCATCCCGGAGTTGCGGGAGTTTGCCGGGGGCTGCGGGACGCACAGCGCGGCTGCGGGGATGCTGCCGGGCCCGAAGGGCGGCGAGGGGGACTCAGCTCCGCAGGGTGAGACCATTTAGGGGCTTAGGGTATTTTCCCTTTCCTCCATCCCTCCGCCCCTCCTATTTCAGCAGGACCAGGGAACGACAGCGCAGTCCCGCTCGGCAGCGCTGCTCCCCGCTGAGGAACACACAGTGCGGGAAGGGCATCGGGAGACGGGTGGCCTGGGAGGGAGGGGGTAACAGGATAAGGAAAAGCACACGAAAAGAGAAGAAGAGCGAGGAACTCACCTGGTTTGGGATTTTTCCTCCCTCTCCACGACCATAAAACGAGGCGGGAGCTAGGAGCCGGTCACCGGCGATGGGAAGCAGCGGCAGTCCCGGGCCGCCCCACGCTGGGGATAGCGGGGCTGAGCGCTGCAGCTCCGCACAGCCGGGGTAGGTGCCAATCCCGGAGATGAGCGCAAGGCAGCCCTCTCCCACGGGGATGGGTGCTGGCCACCSTCCCGGCGCAAGGCAGCTCCCCGGGATGGGGGCAGCGGAGCTGGGCGCAAGACAGTCCCGCTCGGGAACGGGTGTTCAGTCCCCACTGCCCGTGCAGTGCAGCACAGCGCAGCCCTCCGGAATTGGTGTCGAGCCACCCTGCGGCCAGGACGCCCGGGATAGGAGCAGCAGGGCTCGGCGCAAGGCAGCCGCCCGCGGGGATGCGAGCAGGGCCGTCCGCCCCAGCAGAAGAGGAGCGGGAGCGCGGCCCCCCCGCCGTGTCCGGCAGCGGAGGCGGCACCGGCCGAGCACAATGAGCGGCGGCGCGCGGCGCGCCCCCGCGGCCCCCGCTGGGCAATGACATCACCCCTCTCGTCCGGTGGGGCGGGGCCGCTGCCCGTGCCGCCGCCTCGCCATTGGCTGGCGCCCTTTGGCAGCAGGGGCTTCTGGGACTAGTAGTTTCTTTGGGAAAGCCACAGCGAGGCAGCGCCAAGGATGTGGACTCGGTTTTCCAGCAGGCCTCGCGCCGCGCGGCCGCGCTGGGGAGCGGGATGGGGAAGGAGGTGCTGGCGGTCGCCATGTTGATGGCGTGGGAGCTTAGCTCGGGAGGAGCGGTCSGGGAGCCGGGTTAAGATGTCGGAAAAGGGGGAAGGGTGGGAGTGCTGTCTTGGTTTTAGGGGCAAGAGCTTGTGCTAGTGGTTGAGAAAGAACGGGAAGGCTGAGGAATAGCYGGAGGGGCGCGGTAGGTGGGGAGGGGGACCGTGAAGGACACGGCCGCGTATYACTCGGTGATTGCCGGCTCTGGGTGGGGCAGCTCCTTTCTATGGAGGGAACGGGGCCGTGGGGTGAGAATCTGTCCCGGGGCTCGGAGGGGCCCGTACGGCTGCGGTGAGTGTGTGGCAGGAGCGGGATTGGCGGTGAAGCGGCGTTCGGTCAGGGCTGCCGGGCCGTGTGGGCGCTGCGGCGGTGCCGGTCGCGGACGGGGCGGGTGTGTGTGGCGCAGGAGCCGGGGCGGGTCCAGTGGCTCTCGGGACTGTGCCCCCCGCGCCTTCGGTGAGTGGTGCCCCTGTAGGGCTATACCAACCACGGTGTTTGGCCCTTGGATGAAGTACGGACTGTGGGTTAAAGAGCAGGGCTGGTCTTGGGAGACCGTCAGCAGGGAGCAGATTGGGAGCCCTTCTCACACGCCAGGTGACAGCCTGCGTTTCGCTGGTTTGAGGGTTTTTTTAAGGGTTGTGGCGGTGTCTGATGTCTGATAATTGCACTAATGGTGTCTGGCTGTCATAGACATCTGACTTGGTGTGGCCAGCAGGAGGAGCTTTGCTTCCTTTTAAAGTGTGCATTATCTCTGGAAGAACGTASGTTTAGCTATAAGGCAGAAATTCTTTACTCTGAGGGTRGTGAGGCACCATCACAGGTTGYCCAGAGAAGCTGCGGGTACCCTATTCCTGGAAGTGTTCAAAGCCAGGCTGAATGGGGCACTGAGCAGCTGRTCTACTGTGTTGCTACCCATGGCAGGGGAAAATTTGAACCGGATGATCTTTGAGATCACTTCCACCCCAAATGTATTATTCTATGTCCATATACACATAAATCGAGATTGAAAAACATGAGAGAGCAGATAAAGTGGTATAAGACATCTCAGCATGATATGGGAGCAGCCAAGCTGACTTGCTGCCCCATTATTTTACCTGTGCTTGCTGTCTAGTGTTGATGTAGCTTAGCCAGCTGACTAGGTGCTCTCTTAGTTTCAGCCCTCTGGCTGGCATGCACAAGGTAGGCTGGAATTTTGAGGAGTGGTTTTAGGCTTTCTTGTACTRAGCATCATCCCTTCCTGTKCGTGTCTTTTATGTTGGGAAGTGGGAAATCCGTGTTCACCAAATGAGAGTAAGCAAATCTCTGTGAGGTTTAAAGGGACCGGAGTTCTCTGAAACCGTACTTGGAAGGCCTGTGCTTGAAACTGRAAGAGAGGATGCTCAAAGTATTCCCTTACTTGTGAAATAATAYCATTTCTAGTTACAGCTGATTCCTGTGAAATAAAGTACTTTGTTATGCCAAGAAGATACTTAATTGAAAAGAGCTGTGAAGAATTTTGGAGGCTTGCTTGAAGTCTTGGATGAAGTCCAGTAGTGGTGCAGCTCAGGTAAAATGGGTTTGCAAGGGTTTATTTTGTGCTTTGGCTCCTCCTGGAGGTAAGTGCAATGAACTTGCTCAAGGTATTGCTGCACAGTAACTACACAGATGGTGTGTTTGYTCCAGGATACCCTGGAGTTTTGGAGGAATGATATTGTTAGATGTTCTGTGGTGCTGTTAGTTCACGKGAGCATTGCGGCCTTTCAAGATTTGCTGATATTACAGCAATGTGTGCTGTTCTTCTGCCACTGTAGATGCAGCTCCCTCTAGTTAAAGAAGCTGAACCAGTTGCATGCCATCCTGCAAGAAGTCCAGTATGCTAAGGGTGCTTCTCACAGCCAGGTTCTCCTGATTTATCATATTCCTTACTGAAGAAAAGGAGTGGTGACAGTGTAATGCTCTGTTAATGAAAGTCATAGCATCATATCTGGAGAATTCTGAATTACAAGTACAGCCCCTCTTATTTCTTTTCTAATTCTGTTTCTTCRTGCAGATACCTTTAGATTAGGTGAACTGTGGGTGAAATAAAGGGCACTGGCATGATGACTTATGTCACTACAGTTGTCCACTGTAGGCTTTAGGTGTATGCTTTTATATTTGCAGCTGATACCTGGTAATGATGGTACGTATTCCAGTGGAATAGTKGGGTCAGGCTTGTTTATCTTTTTCTGACRGTTACAGAAAAGTGCATGTGAAATCTTCATCCAAAATGGTCTGCTGGCTAATGACAGTATGTTTTGTTAAACTGATTTAGGAACAATTGGTTTTACTTGTAGTGGTTCCCTTTTCTCTCTCCCTGTCCTCTTGCAGTCAGTGTTGCTGCTCTGAGAAGGATGCTGTGCACCTYACAGATAATTGTATTTTGTTGTTCATGTCTTATTTCTTTATCTGTAGATACCACTGATGTCTCAGCTAAGGTAGGAAAAAGGAAATTACTTCAGAAACTAACCAAGTGAACACCTGATGCAAGAGAAAAGTAAAACAGTTTTTTCTGTGTGTTGTTCACATTGGTCAGTTTGGGGTGATTTGACACTTGCCAGTGTATGGATCTTGTTGATCACAACTTGTCAGAGATGCTAGTGATGAAACCTGTTTTGTCTCAGAGTTGGATCTGTTCACCTGGAAGTGCTAATGTCCAAATCTGTCCTCACCCAACAGGTCTTAATTCCTAAAGCTGTGAGAAGCTTACTTGTCCTAATGCAGAAATAAGTGGTGTGTCTGCATTTCAAGTGAAAAGACACAAGGTGACAGTAGAACTGCAAACCTGCCTTTAGCATTTCTTAAACATTGGTATATTGTAATGAAAACTTACTCCAGTGTCTGTCTGATCTTCAKCCTATGAATCTGATACATTTGTGTGTACTTTACTGTGCTGACATCCTACGCTCAAAACCTGTGGGTTGTCTTTGTTACTGAAGTGGTTTTGGTCACTGTGGATTCCAGTAAGCAACAACCCTGTTTCCTGACCTGGAGAATCTGTTGGAAGACCCTGAAGGAGGGATGAGGAAGATAAGTAGGAATGTGTGATGACTTTGCTCAAAGAAGGTTCAGTCTAGGTTTAATTTTAATGTAAGTTCATACATAGAAACCTGTCTTCATGTCTCAGCTTTYGTTCTGACAAGTTTGCTCAAAAAGAAACTTCAAGCATTTGGATCCTGTATTCACTGGGTAATATACAAAGCCAGGCTGCACGGGAAACACGGATTTCAAGATGAAGTGTACAGATACATCATAACATTTTTTTTTAAGATGTTTGGTGCGGTAGGTCTACTGCCACTGTCAGCATCTGTGTCAGTGCAGCACAGAGTACTGTTGGGGTTGTCACATTTCTTGGCAATGATGGTAAAAGGCCTAATGTCATTCCTGGTATGCATATTAACTGGATGAAAAGATTTGCATGTGCCCTCATGAATAACTCATGAAAAACAGAAAGTAAAACGTGGTTTCTAAGAGTGATTGATACCATCTATGCTTGTCTTGGCACATAAATTTTGTTTTAAGATCCCATTCCCTTAATTATCYCAGCTATAAAACATAGTTGTGTGCAGTCCCCTTGGAGGAATGAGAGTGGAAGTGTCACTGACCAACTGCTTATTTCAAAGCCTGTGGAAGAAGGGTGTGAATTTTTCACATTAAAGTTACTGCTCAGATGATAGGGAAAGAAGAAGCTGTGATGAAAAGTTGGTTGAATTTATTTCCCATGGAGCTGTTGGCCTAAATGTTTCTGGAGCTGCAAGGGGAAAGGTGAGAGGATGAGTTCAACTGGATAGAGCAGGTAAGTACTTGTGTATCATGTTACTATTTCCAGGTATCTTAGTGATTACACTAAGAATACATTGTGTAGTATACTTTGATGACGGAGCTTGGAAAAATAGGAAAGAGTGGAAGGCTTCTGTGACTTTTTTACATGTTCTCAATGAAATGGGGGGCAGCTGTTGAACCAGTATCTGGAAGAGCCTAGTATTTGTGAATAGCCAAAGGAGTAAAGCTGCTCTGGAAATAATTTTAATGACTAATTTATAAAATGTTACCCTTTTTTTTTTGTCTTTCAGCAAAAAGAAGAGTGCYCTAAGGGCAGTCAAGAGTCAAGTTAGCATGGGCATGTTCTTCAGCTGAAACATGGCAGCAGTTCAATAGCAGTTACACAACAGGAAAGGGTGTGTGAGCTGCCACAAGTCCACTCCATAGGTTCCTAAGATCTGGTRTCTGAAAGAACTCAGTAGAGAGAAAAAGGTAGTTGCTCCCACAGCTTCAAACTACCTTTGAGTTGAAAAGAGAGCTTATTAATACTGAAACAGGAAATTGATTCTGTGTTAGATACTGGGGAAGGTAATCACAATGTGCAGGACTTAAAAGTGCTGGTCAGGACACTGAGAAACTGAAAGTAGGTCAAGTACAAGAGACTCTGAGACTCCAGTTGTGGGAAGCTCCCTTTTGGGGAGGCACACTAGCAGTAGAGTACACTTGCTAAACACAAGGCGAATCAAAAGTTCTGCAGCTGTTAGCCACACATTAATGTATCTCTTAAGGTGGGATGGCCTGACGTGACCACTGAATATCATAAGGCTGTAGGCAGACCACATTTCTCTTAAAAGGATATGTGCTACTACCCAAATCAGAACCACATAAACAGCTTCAGTTTTTGCCAAATACTTCTAGTTCCTGGAATGACAGCTTTCCTCCATCCGCCTAACTCCTGCAGAGCCAGCTG